CAGGGATGATCTAGCTAAAATTAATCCTACCGTGAGTGCGTGGGACTGGAGTATATATCCTCCTGAGGTCCCTTGCAGTCCTATGATTCTATGATTCTGTGATAAGGGAAATTATGGTTAAGGACACTGAGGCAAATCTCTGTTGCTATGAAAGGTGCCATGGAATCTTTAATATTCATGCAGAGCAGCCATTACCAGCCTGGCTTTCACAAGTGCTGAGCAGCACAGTTCCTGTTTTATCTGACAAGAACTGAGGATGTTGCTCACCTTTTCCGGTCAGGGTACTAATACCAATACATTTCCAGCCCATCAGGCCAGTGCAATCTGAACAAACTCTACAGCTAAGATTTCATTAAAGGACTCCATCAAATGGCTTTATTAAATCCAGCTATACTGCAGCAACTGCCTTAGCCTCAGCTATTTGTTTTGTCATTTTAACAAAAAGGCAGCCAAGAGTTTTGATGGACAGTGATCTTTCTGGGGGTGGGTGATTTTATTTTGGTTTGTGTTTTGTTGCCTCCTTTGCTCTCCTCTATGGCATGTTACTGGTTTGAGAGTTAAGTTTTAAAATAAATAGGAGGCTTTTAACTACTTCTATTATAGCAGTGTCCAAGGCCTGTGGACAGCATCTGGACCAGATTTTGCCAGTGTACAAACATAGGGAGACCCTGTGCCCTGTACCAAGTTGTTCAAATCTAACCCTTGAATAAAGTCCCAAGCCTGTCGGCACCTCCATCCATGAAAGTTGGTTCCGAAGCCTGGTGACAGGCTCATTGTAATAAGTAGGACTCTGTGATAGGTCAGATGTGTGTGCAGGTGCGGCTGCTTATAGGATCAGGGTCTAAGATGCTAAGCACTGCACACGTACAGTTATCTGGGGTTTTGCCAGGTGATAACAGTGTGTATAAGAAACTCTGTAACTGATGTCATTTCAAAATCTGCCCGTTTTTAAGCCCAGGTAGTTTAGTTCTTTATAACCCCTGCTGCCTGCTCTTTGTGGTGTCTTAGCTCTCTAGGGGTACGTCTACACTACAGCGCTAATTCGAACTAACTTAGTTCGAATTAGTTACTTCGAACTAAGCTAATTCGACCTAACGCGTCTAGAACTAAAAACTAGTTCGAATTAGCGTTTTGCTAATTCGAACTAGCATGTCCACATTAAGTGGACCCTGAACCGGGGTTAAGGATGGCCGGAAGCAGTGCCGGCAGGGCATCAGAGGAGGACTTAGAGCATGGAGATGCTGTCTCAGGCTAGCCGAGGGCTGCACTTAAAGGGTACCGACCCCCACCCCGGACAGACAGTTCTCAGGGGTGCCCCGCTTGCAAAGCAGTCCTGGCTTGGAGTGCCCTGAGTGCCCACACTGGGCACATCACACCACTCGGCCATCAGCCCGGCTGCACTTGCCGCAGGCTGCCATCTGGGAAGAGGGAGCAATTGGGGGGCTGCAGGAGAGCTTCCACCCCCAGAAGCCCGCAGAGCTAGCCCAGTCCTCCCCATCGGGGGCTCATGCCCCATTCCTCCCTCACCTCCTTCCACTTACCCTTCCCTAGCCCCTTTTCTTGATGTACAAAATAAAGAAAACGTGT